AGTGTCTCGCCGCGAGTGTACACCGCTAATTAGCGACCCACGCACAGTCAGTCACGTCCAAAGTCCGGGCCAGGTGGTTTCTCGTAGAAAGAGCAGATCCGCATATCAGCTGCTCTGGGCAAGCAATAGGATCGCGTGTTCCGGTGGAAGGCGTAGGCCTGTAGGGGTGTGGTGTTACTGCAAACATTAGATGGCTGTCAATGATAAGCTTCAGGATCTGGCCGCTTTATACCCTCGGAAAGTCCCTGGTAATCATTTAGCAGAAAGGTGGAAGAGCCCATGAATTGCTCTGAACATGGCTCTGAAGAAACTGAGACATCAGCCGGATGGTCCATCTGAACTGAGAAACAAAGACGTTAAGAAGATAAAAAAAAGATGAAGCTGTCCCTGGGCTTAATTAGTCAAGCACCACGCCATGAAGACGTATGGGGAGTGGAGGTGTTGCTCCACCATCCTTAACCTTGGCACTAGACGGAGGTAAGCGGTCAGCTTCACGTTCCTGCCGCTTTAGCCCCCGGGTATAATTCGCCCCACTATCCATTGCATAGGAGGATGGGTGGGTTTCTCAGCCGGTCTGAACGTTACGGAGAAGAGGAAAAACCTTTGTCTCTGGCGGGAATCGAACCGCGACTCATCGGTCGTCCAGGCCGTAACCTCGTTGCTGGACTGACTGTTAAGAAAAATCAAATAATTATGTTCGATAGATCGACATTACTACTGTGCTAGAATAAGCTTCAAAACAAGAAAACAAATTTACTCAAGACAGAATCACTATGCCATGTACGTATTACAACAGGGACACCAGACGGAAAAATTAAAATTCATTTCGTTTAGTGAGGGTGGAGTCCAGCTGCGTCCACTCGGAACGGCGGCCACTGATTGACCTATTGTACCTGCCCCGGAGGATGATGGAAAATTTGGTGGAATGAAGACTGGCAGGGGAAACCGAAGTACTCGGAGAAAACCCGCCCCAGCGCCACTTTATCCACCACAAATACCACTGGGCCAGACCCGGGATCGAACCCAGGCCGCCGCGGTGGGAAGCCAGCGACTAACTACTTGAGCTATGGCGCCGCCTGACACTAGACAGAATCTTGTGGAACAAAAATATATCCATGGAAAGTAAGACAAACATATTTCAAGCATAGTTGCAAATATGGAGATGAAAGTTACTTAAAATTTGAGGAATAAAATAAGGACAGTTGAATTTCACTACTTAAGAAAATGTCTTCAAGTGACAGGAGAAAACATAATGAGAAATGAAACATTAAAAGAAGAAATGGGCGTTACATATTTAATGAACAGGAGCGTGGAAAATAGAGGGCTCCGATGGTACTGGCATATTGAACAAACGAAGGAGGAAAGATTGCTGAGAGTATGTTGCTCTGGTCACCACTGCTGGGAAGTTTTTGAGTAGCAGCACAATTGGCGGCATTTCAAGAAAGGCTCAGTTGCACGAGTGAGTGAGTGAATCTGTGTGCCAGCATGGAACGGGCTGCGAACTGAGGAGAAAGCGAGGGCTAATTCTGTATTATTGTGATCTAATTGGAAATCTGTCACCAGCCTTTGTTTTGTGCTTTGGTTTTACAAATTGGATGTGAGGACACAATCTTTGAAATTGACCCTGGAGCAGAAATGTGTAGTTTCGAAAAACACAGCTTCAGAAAATTAATACGATATTTTAATATTTTTCATTTTCCTATCTCATGGAGTGCAAGCTTTGGACGCTATCATTGTCCATCTATTGCTAATTCTGTGTGGAGATGCTGCATGTCTCATTGCCGATTTATGCAGTTCTTAAAGGAAATTGCTCTTTAAGGCAGTGACGTATCAGTTCGTAGTAATTTCGCACAAAGTACCTTTCGGTCAGGCGAAGGAATCTCTTCTTCACTGTTACGTAAAAAGTGGATGAAGTCATCCGCTATTGTCACAATCGGTCTGATAAAGGAACTGATATTTTTTCTTTGCGACTTACGGAAGCAGTGATTGTTGATCAAGCAATATGAGGAGGCCACAGTCTTTGGATCGATGTTTCAAAATTTCGGCTTTTCTTCAGAGCGGGGAAAAAATGCGTGATGACGGATTCTTGTGTGTGGATATTCTTTTACGACAAATTGACAAAAACACGAAGACATTTAGATTCTAAAGGGTTCTGACGATGGTGTATAACACTCAGAATTACTGGGTTTTCGGACTTTGTCCATCGGCCGGTTTTTTAAGAACTAGAAAACACACCGTTTCGGAAACTGGATCTGTTTCCGTCCTCAGGTGAGGGAAGAGACACCTACTCTGTTAGGTCCCTTAACTTTTAGAACAAAGGACGATGGACACACTCAGAAAATCCATTAGTTCTGAGAATAAAACATGTTTTGTCTGTGATATTTTTGTTTATAATGTGTTCTACACGTTCTCAGGGAAAATTTATTCGTGATATATTGTGTAGAGATTTACGAGTAGCTTCGCATGCAGCAGAGGCCAGACCAGATGACATCTGGAAGGACAGCAAGAGTCTGTAAGGTAGAGATTTTCGTACAGAATTCAACTTAGTGTCTGTTTATGCCGGATGAGGCGCTAATGCAGCCTCACTGCGACTATGGTTCACTACTAATTTTTATCAGCTATTTTCAAGAAACGCAAAAAATGAACGCACAATGTTGATGCGTCATGCCCGAATTTTTAAACTCCCTAACCAATCAAGAAATTTCAACAAATTTTGGCATGAAATCCTAAACCAGACTCTGTCTAGGACTCCCATTTTGATCTGCATTAGTTTCCTAAAATCCCTACTTTGCATGAAGCCCAGTTCAAAATCTTCCGTCTACTCAACAACTTATCGTACACAAACTTTGACCTAGACTTAAGATGCCAACCTCATTACGACAGAAACATTTGGTCTGAAACCTTTTCCGGTATGGTATAGGTTCAGCCATCACTAACAAACGGAGGCTACAAACTACAGTTACATTCAGGAATAGATTAAGGGTAGCAATAGGAATAGAAGAAGAACAAGAACAAGAAGAAGAGGAGAAGGAGAAGAAGAAGAAGAAGAAGAAATACGAAAATACTTATGACCATTCAGTTCAGAATCTTAGTTCTCCCGCCTCCTTAAAAATAAAATGATGATTAAAACATAATTTTACATGTTGTTTTGTATGGGTAACAAGCTTGAATTTCACATTAAGGGAAGAATACAAATTAAGAGTGTGTTAGAACAGTGTGCTAAGGACAATATTGCGACTTTGGATACATAAATTAATGAAAGGCTGGAGAAAGTTGCATAATGAAGGACTTCATAATTTTTACTCTTCGCCAAACATTATATAATTAAATCAACGAGAACGAGAGCGACGAACCACGTAGCACGCATGAGAGAGGTGGTATATAAGTTGGAAAATCTGAATGGAAGAGACCACTCGGGAAAATTGGGTGGGGATGTGAGCCAATATTACAACTGATTTTAAAGAAACGGGCGTTCAGGATGTGCACTGGACTCATCTTGCTCAGGATAGGGTACATAGCAGGGTCTTGTGGACAAAATGAATTTTGTTGGTCCATGACAGGGAAGGAATTTCTTAACTATGCTCTACTCCACGGAATTACTCAATATTTTTAAAGACATATCCGTAACAAGAGTATTTCTTTTCATATTTACGCGTATCAGCAGTATAACTTTTTCATACCGTGCGGTGTCTCTGTACCCCGTGTGGAGGTGGGGTCGAATACCTCCACCGTGACCCTGCGAGTCGTAGGATGCGACGAAAAGGGAAATCTCAAATCTGAGACAGTAAAATATGGTTGCGAGTCCCAATGGACTTGGACCCGAAAAAGACTGCCCTGGCAAGGACCAGCAGCATACACAAAATACAGACCCATCCTCTCGTCAGAGAGGGCGCCCCACGAAAACAAGACTGTAACTATCAAACATCAATAAATATCTGGTCATCATTACTTACTGACTGACCGTCAGTCGCAATGTGACTTTGACTTTTTGGTATCTCTGTTCCTGACTAGGCCTCATGGCAGTACTTCATTCAGCAAGGAATGCAAACGATTTCTTGTTCCAGATTAGTCAGGAATCTGTTCGAGATTGCGACACCTACAGTTCGCGTGTCGTATCCATTATTTAATTTTGGCGAAGACTCACCTTCTGCAAAGCGAACTCTGCCCGCCGTATTACACCACGAGTTAGATAAAGCGGTCGCGTCACAGCAAGCGAGACTTGTGAATGAGACCCAGAATTATGAATGAACAGACACTGTAGTGGAGGGGACAGAGGGACCAGTAATGAAGCGTGACGTCTTTAGGCGCTATCATAATGTCTCAAGAGGAAATTAGCTTTTTACTTTCCCGTTAGAGCATCTCGATTCGCTGAGAACAGGGGAATCCTATGAGCCACACCCCTCCTTCCTACGAAAGCGCGTCAGTTGACAAATCACAAGTGATGATATTCGTTTGCGGCTTCTCCCCCCTTCCTTTGGGCTATGTTAATAAAAGGCGGTATGAGGCACTTCACGGCGTGAAAATCATTCTGCAATTGCGACGGAGTATTTCATAAGACGACCTTACGGAACGTTATTATCCAGAAAGCATGGCACTTCATTTAGCAGGTAAATGCTCAGTGACAGCGGACGGCACGTGAAGAGCGCGGGAAGAGGCGGAATTTGTGTTAGTGCAGTGTGGTAGAAGACTAGAATTCATTAAATGATCGGATATTTGTTTGTTTGGTAGATTTACCAATTGTTTCGTGTGGGTGTGAGGTTTTGTTTCTCCCACTGAGAGAGAAACAGGATGGAACATTGTGGATTGATTCAAGTGGTTCCGGATAGGGACTACTGGCCTGTGAACATACTATTTGAGCATTTTCTTGGAGACATGGCCTTCACATTACTTGTTCATGTTATGTAGGCCCTGCTGATTGCAAAGAACATAAACGTAGTGTGGAATGAAAACACCTGACACCTATTTGAAGCACTGGTGACTGTATCGGCTTTTATTTGCAGCTTTGTTTGTGGTTCTGCTTGCAACGTTGGCCGTACCGTCAATCGGTGGACCCGTTGCGATGGGCACATGGCATCATCCCTGCGGCCACTCTGTCAGGGCAGACTCACACACCCACGAACGGACTCGGCACGGCCTCACCAAGCTCCTCAGGGCCGTAAAAACGCAGATAGGAGTCGCGAAGAAGTATTTCATTAAAGAGAAGGAAAACATGAATAAGACTTATCGTCAGGTAAGTGCTCAAAATGTCACTTGGGGTGGAACACGAGAGTAGAAATAAGCCTACGGCAAATATTCATTTGTATTCATAGTCCAAAGCAGCGCCTTGTATTCAGATTTTCGCCGGGTAGTAGCACAGACATTCCAGTCACAGTGGCTGCGCGGTCTAAAGTAGGCCGCACACCGACATGCGTCAAGACATGTAACAGTCAAGCCACGATGTCTGCGACATGACGTAAAGAAAGGAGCACAGATGAAACGAATGAGATTATGAAAACAGCCGCGCACCGGTCTCAGTCATGACGTCAGCATCATGACTCAGGCCAGTGTGCGACGGTTTCCATAATCTCATTCGTTTCAGCTGTGCTTCTTTCTTTGCGTCATGTCGCATACATCGTGTCCTGACACATGCCGGTGTGCGGCCTACTTTAGGCATGAACTGTTGGGATCGTGGGTTTAAATCCCATTCAAACCATGGATATCTGTGTGTATGATTATTCTGTTTGTGTTGTCCTGTGTGTACGTAGAGGTCTTACAACGGGCTTATCACTCGTGAAACGTGTCCTACCGCCTGTGTAAGAAAGATTACGAAACTGAAGAAGAAGCCAGTGCCTAACAGAGGACTGTAGAACCATTGATGAATGAAAAATGAATGAATGAATAGCACAGGCAATATTAAGAGCAGCGTGTTCTAAAACTAGGCCCCCTACTAGCAGGGGTGCATATAACGTACGTATGTCTTCAAGTATCTTCGACTTACGCAAGTTTCATGTTAACGCGATTTAATATTAATTGCACTAAGTTTTATTGAATTACGTACTTTTCCATTACAATTAACGGTGGAGGAACAAATGAAATAGCAATTTTAACATGAAATGTTATAAAGTTAAGTGCGTATTCTCGCGAACGCAGCTATGATCCTGCGATAATTGTAATGGTCAGATATAAACTACTGGCACCGAAATGTTAAAATTGCGATTGGGGTATAAATTGGATTAGGGCTTCGGCCACCAAATTAATAAATGATGGGCCCATGTCAATTAACAAAGAAAATTCACATGAGAGGCCGGTCTAGTATTGACAATTTTCTGTAGCTGTTTTCTTCTATTTTTCTTCAATATCAACCCATGATTTAGATTATAAAGCGCTTGCACGTATATGTCGGGTATCTTTCCCTATCATTAGTATCTAGGGCAACACTGAAAATCGCTTCCTTTTAAGATATAATGTTTTAGGAAGCAGGATTTTTCTTTCTCGTGAAGGGAACATAACAGATGACAACGGTATAGCTAATTTGTAAACTGATGTATTTAAATCGATCCGCCTGTGGTCTAGTGGTCAGAGTTCCTGCCTAAATATCCAGAGGTCCCGAGTTCGATTCCCGGCGCTACCAGTTTTTCTGTGAAGTAGGGGGTTTGGAAATGGACCCACTCAGCCTCGTGAGGATAATTGAGCAATTTCAAGGAAATAGCGGCTCCGGTCAAGAAAATCGAGATTAACGGCCGTGGGGATCCGTTGCGCTGACCACGTGACACCCTTTATCCGCAAAAATTGGCACTAACTTCGGCAACGAGCGGTGGTCGCTTGCGGACTACTGACCACGGAGTTTGTTTTTGTTGATGTATTTAAATTCAACATCCCTTGTTCGATTTTAACCCCTCTCCTCTCCCTCAGGTGAAATCATACACACGCTACTTCTACAGATAAACGTCAACTCTGTTTTCTTCTGGCAACTTGTGGAATGGGACTCCTGGCTGAATTTTTTTTTCCCCTGTTCAGATTAATGTCTGAGAGTTTCTTAACGTGTTTATGTTTTCACAGTACGTACATTTCCTGTTACAGGTCAGAGAACTAAAAGAGGAGTTATATCGTTACGACTGGCTACCGCAGAAGCAACTGGACTGGTATCAGAACGGAATCTGTAGCTTATCGAAGCCAGCAAGGGTAAGCATTTTGGTGCAAAAGTCCTTCTTGAGAAGTTAATATTCACTCAGTCCAGAAGTTACGCACCTTTTATGAGCCCCGAAAGTTCTTTTAACATGTTCACATAAGCCCGTTCTTACACTATAATAGTTTCTCAGCTAACTTGTCCAATATCGAGAAGAGAAACCCAACACGTTATTCAAAATAATCTTGGGCGCTGAAAATTCGGCTTGAACATGAACACAGATTTCGAATTAAGAAGCTCTTAACAAGAACATAATCCATATGACTAAAGCTTTATCAACTGCTTACCTAATATATCAGAATGGCTATTCGGTTCCGTGTATAAAGTGTTGAAGGAATGTGAATGATTTTTAATAAACAAATTTGGAAGGACGTGGAAGAAATAGTCTGTAACATATTTTTTAAATTATAATCTTAGTATTTTCATGTAGAAAACGCATAGGTAACATCATTTAGGGTAACGGCTATGAAGTCAGGTAGCTATATGCCCGTAACACGAATACGATGCAAACATATTGAAGTAACCCAATATGGCGGCCTGCTGGTAACTGCTTGACATTCGCTTCTGCCATGTCACGGATTATTTTGGCTGGACCAATGACAAGAGTACGTTACACTTCCCGGCAGAAACCTACATAAAGATAATACTGTTATTCAAATTTGCCATATTAGTTTAATTAATTTGTTGTTTATTGCTTTCCAGGTGCAGAAAGTGTTACAGCTTTTTCATAGCTCTTTACAGAACTTCACGGTCACATTCGAGGAGCTGAAGAAACTGCAGCGGCCTGAAAATTACCCAATGAGCAATATGAAAACCAGAAAGAAGGTCATCAATGGCATGGCTGAACTCCTCATTCAGGTAGGCCCAAAGACTGATTGAATAAGAAGCCAGTAAATATACCGTACAAGTGGCGAGGTTAAAGTTCTCATTTGGTTCTAAAAATTGCGTTTTGCCATTGCTCACGGTGTAAGATTAACGGCCGACAGAGCGCTACGTACGCGACGCACGCTACGTACGCTATGTTCGCTATACGAACAGAAAAATATCTCCCTTTATTGACAATGTGACTGGCCACACAGACTTCCGTACGCCACGTACGTTATGTTCCCTATGTTAGCTGCGTCGCAGAGCGTACACAGCGTATGTAGCGTAGCGCACCTTTAGACGCTGGTCTCTCGCCTCGAAGTCATCCCGGGTGACCTGGTGTGATATCTATGAAGGAGGAAGTGACACTGGAGCAGAATTTCCTCCGAGTTTCTTCTGTTTCCCCCAGCCACCCTATCATTTCTCCATACTCATTTATCATCGCCTTTGGAGATGTACGATAGCCCAGACAGGGCAGCATATTATCAGACACTCGGTCTTCAAATTTTGGGTTTTGGGACTTCGCTTCAAACCCGGATTTTGACGGTTACACAGCAAGGAAGTTAATAAATATTTTAAAAACTGGCAATATTTTATTCGAATTATGTATATTAAGAAATTTCCATGGAATACGGTAACAGTAATTGTTTCTGATTCAGAAGCATGGTAATTACAGCTTTCCAAACAGGAAAAAGGAAATGCATATGTGCCTTTTTAAATACAGTGAAAGTTTGGGTCAATTCTTAAAGTTGGCATTATCTTTTCCGACAAGCGGCGGTGGCTCGGTCGGTATAGTTCGTTGTGGGCTAATTTGACGGAATATTTTTGGTTAATTCTTAGTGAAAAGACATTTAAAAATTTTTGCACGTCCTTTCTAACTCTTGTCTCTAACGGAGAGCAAGGAAGATAACTTTAGTGGTGGTCTAACAATTATGTGTAGATCATAATTTAAGCTGTTAGTCGCCGGCTTCCCACCGCGGCGGTCCGAGTTCGAGCCCGGGGCTGGTCTTGTGGGATTTTTGAAGGACAAAGTGGCGCTGGGGCAGATTTTCTCTGGCTACTTCGGTTTCCCTGCTAACCTTCATTCTACCAGTTGTTCCATAATTATCATAATATATCATCTGGTGCTGGTACAATAGATCAGTAATGGCCGTAGTACAAAGTGAACTCAGCCTCACCCCACTAAGAATAACAATTATGTAATTCTTAGTACATTTATACAGCCGTTGTAAGAGCGGCGATTGGGATTCCGGTGAACATTTCATTGTCGCTGCTCCCTTCATTAAGTCTACGAATAAACTGCATTTCACTCCTTTCAGGACTAACTTCTTTTTAACAGAAATGGAAACAGGCTCTTTCGACACAGCTTTCAAAACACTGTTAACAGGCGGAACATTTCTACTGCTTTAATGATTAGCTACAAAGTGAAAGATAGGATTCCATTCCGAGTAGGCGCAGGAATTTTTCTCTTCACTTTCAGTCTGAGACTTACCGAGTCTCATTTCATATGGGAACGGGATAGGGGCTGAGGAACATTTTCTTCGGGAGTAAAGTGGTCGGAGCGTAAAGCTGACGGCTCACTTCCGTATATTTAAGAAGTTAAGAATGTGTGGAAACTAATCTCCATTCCCCATGCATGTTCGCATTGTGGTACTGAATGAAGTACAAGGAAAGTATTACCTCTTCCAGTTACTGTTTTTACTATACTGTCACGTGTCCGAGGTTCCGTTAACTAATAATAAGGGTTTCTGGATTGGATGACTGGATTTATTAGCGCCTTCTTGTATAATCATAAGCAATTACAATAACTTGAAAATCTTCAGCCGAAACCTTTTTCTTTACTGCCGAGGACTCGCTCCATTCTCGTCCTCATTGTACTACTGACTTCTGATTTACGACTGGACTATTTATATAGTCTCGAGGCGGAGCCACAGAAAACATCTCTTCCTCTATTGTTGCGAAGGCATGTTTTCTGCGCCGTTGCCTAGCAATAGAAATATTCATTGTCGTGGGAATGTGCTTAGCGATCCGCTGCCTAGCAATGGGCAAGGCACAGACCAGACAGAAAACACTTCCTACAATATCTCTTCTATTGTTGCGTGCGCGTGTTTCAGGCGTTGCCTAGCAATAGGCCTATATGTCACAATACTACCGTATACAACACTTTACTTACGCTTTTACACGCGTAAACAAAATAATTTAGTACGTGTTAAATAAACATTATTATTATTATCATTATTATTATTATATTTTTATGTTCGCAGGTTCTGTGTGAAGTTGAGTGGGCCCTCGAGAGTCTGAACTTAGCTGTACCTGAACGAGTAAAAGAAGATTTGTTTCCGAAAAAAGAGAAATGGAATGCAAACCCAGACATAACAGGGTTATTAGTTCAAGACTGGGGAGTTATCTCATTGTACAAGAATTTTCTTGGAGATTGGCACCTGATTATAGACAGAGTCAGCAAGAAAACCGCGTGCAAGAGTTCAGGAAGTGTCAGTAGACGTAAGAATAAGCCAAAAGTACGCAAGACCGCTAAATCAGGATCTTAACTTCATCATACTGTCTCGTGCGTGCGACTCAACTGTCGACACTTCCGATGAGGAAGACATGAAAGGAGATGGACATCGCATAGCGGCTGTCAAATGGCTGAAGGTCTGATGCAGTCACCTCATCCGCTTCTGTCCAGAATGGTGACCGTAAAAACGCACAAACTTTATTGTTCGTATGACAAAGCAAATCTCGAATTTTGATCTGATATTTTAGATACCTTAAACTGAATGTTTTCACAGTTAAAGTTTCTTAGTACTAAGTAAGTATACACGTATGTTGCGATCTCAATTCCGTCCATCTGCGTGAATCAGCTATATTTTTTAACTTTTACTAGTGACAGACATTTAAAAAGGTATTTTATATCAAAGAAATTTATCCGAATTTGAAGTAATGCGTGCAAATGTGGTGTGATGCCCTGGAAATCTCTTTAATAATTGGATTCTAAGCGGTTCTGACGATGGTGTATAACACTCGCGGTTACTGAATTTTTGGACCTTATCCATCATCTGGTATTCGAAACAATCTGGATCTGTTTCCGTCCACAGGTGAGGGGATGGGGGACACCTACTCTGTTGGGCCCGTTAGAAAGACCTAACCTCAATCATGAGTTCAAAAATTCTGTAATCCTGAGCCCTTTGACAATGTTCTGCAAATTAATCTCTAAGTGAAGCGATGACAACTTCAGTGCATTTTGATAATGTTGCACCATGTAAAGTAAGTCATGTCCTATACGAAAATATGGCAGGCAGTTCTCGTATTTCGCTAGTGGACCGAACTCAGAGAAAATACCTGCTACTGTAAATGTGACGATACGCTTAAATGTTGCCACGAAATATGTATGTGATATGATGTTATAGTTCCTATATTTATTAAGCATTACGTGATGTTTAGCTGTTGTTATATTGAACTGTTCGAGGCAGGGTGACAGCTCATCTGTTCCTTAGAGGAATGATAAAGTAATTTTCAATGAAGATTAAGTTGGATACTGACTTGTTTCTTGTAAAATATCTAGAAAAGACCCATGTTGTGATACCACTACAGAGTGTGTAACTTATTGCGTGTTCCCGAAATACGTCTTCCATTAAATGAACTGCAATAAAGCCACGATCTTTAAGCTACTCTTCGATGTGTAATGACGAGTGGCCAACTGCTTCCGTTTCTACGGTGACGTGCATCCGGAACTTACGTATAATACTACTGATTGGAGATTATGTGTGTCGTGTCGTTTTAAATTATTTAATAATTTATTTTGAAGTCTTGTTGAATCCCTGTGTTCAATTTGTATTATTATCATGTGCCATTAATTTATTTGTATTAAGTTATTTGTCTTAAATTATGGTAATAGTTATATATTTTATAATTAAATTGCATTTTGTAATTTCTAAAAAAATATATAAATAACATTAAATAATTTAATTTTCAAAGAACCATCTTTGGTGTCCTAATTATTCCTAGTCGTTTATAATCAATCCCCGACTTTCCTAATCCAAAAAATGAGGGGTGGAGGGTGGAGGAGGACGCTAAAAATTGAGTTACTTTGCCTCGAGGCATTCATATAAATTCTGGTATATGTAGAAATAACACGAAAAAGGATTTCAACGGTTAATCTCACGAAAGTAAAATTCTGATAAAAATAATTCAATAACTGTATTTATACCATCAGCATGGAACAGATGGTAGCGTAGGTCGTTGAGACATTATGCTACAAGCTGGAAGGTCGCGGGTTCGAGTCCCTATGAGATGGATTTTTTTTTTCAATTTACCTAATCTTTCCGGCCGCATTATAGCCCTGGGGTCGACTCAGCCTCTAACAGAAATGAGTACCAGGCATCTTCCTAGGAGGTAAAAGGCGGCCTGCGCGGAAGGCTGACAACCTCACCGTCATCTGTGAGCCAATTGTCTAGAGAAAATATCGGAGCCTCGACGTTTCACAACCCTATGGGCCTTCACGGCCTGTTACAGAGATAGCTTTATACCATCAGAATGGAATTATTATTTTCATTATTTAAGATATGGCCTAAATATGTATGTAGTTTTCATTTAAAGTTCAAATTCTACCCAATCACATCATTTGCGTAACTCAGAAGTCCTGTACTCCGTAGGGCAGACGTTCGTGTTCAGAATCTGACAGTCATTCACATGCTCAAGATAATAGTCGCACTTCAAGCCGTTACCGTGCTCATAATAACAGGTCTTTGGTTCGTATCCTGAGCCAAACAACTCTATTTCACACCGTTCTACCATTTTTCTTTGAGATCAGTTTTACTTTCTAATAATAAGGAGTATACGTGAGCAGGGTTCCTGGCTACAGATCCAGAGGTCCCGAGTTCGATTTCCGGCGCTACCAGATTTTTTTCTGAGAAGTAGTGAGTCGTGATAATAATAGTAGATCTCTTGCAAGGAGCTATTTCAAGGCTCCGGTCTAGAAAATCGAAATTAACGGCCGTGGGGATTCGCTGTGCTGACCACGCGACACCCTCTATCGGCAAAATTTGGCACTAACTTCGCCGACAAGCGGCGGTCGCTCGGTCGGCATAGTTCGCTTGCGGACTAAAATCACGGAGTTTGTTTTATATGTGAGCAGATGATCACTCACGGAGCTGAGCCCTTCTGGAAGAGCAGCCAATTCTGCAGCTACTCATGAATTTCCCAGCATTTTATGGTACCCGAAGGTTCATTACCATGTTCACAAGAGCCCTCCACTGGTCCCTACCCTGAGCCAGATCAATCCGGTCCATACCATAACATCCTATCTCTCTAAGATCCATTTTAATATTGTCCACCCACCTACCCCTTGGTCTTCCCAGTGGTCTCTTTCCGTCTGGCTTTCGCAACAATATCCTATACTCATTCCTCGTCTCCCCCATTCGTCAAAATGCACTGCCCACCTCATCCTCCTTGACTTGAGCATTCTGCTTTGGTGACGAAAAAAAGAAACAGAACTTGCTTTTAGACCCCACTGAACACGAAAGATGTTTTTAAAATTCTTTAACTTCTTGCTCCAAAAATAAGGGCCCTTCAAATGGGCTCCAAAAATCAATGTAGCCATTTCTTCAAAAACGGCTTCAATGATTTTAATTGAATTTTTATAACTTAAAGAGAAGGTGTCCATAAATGAAGCCAAATCGGTTGTATCCTAACGAACGTAACGGTTCGTGCGCTAGTGACTCAAATGATTTTGTTGAAACCTGCTTTATCGGTCGGACTGATTTAATTGTTGTTTGGTATTCAGTAACCAGCTTTGTTCTACCGACACGGTCGATTTCATTTCCAAGGTAGCGCAGTCGACTAGACGTACGAGTATACGAGGGAACATGTGCTATTATTAACATTAACCTTCCCTATATGCATTCCTTTCCCAAATGGCCTTTTCCCTTCCGGTTTGCCTACCAAAGTTTTGTATGCCCTTTTCATCAATTCTTTACTTTCTCTGGCAATTTCATGCTTCTTGAGTCGATCGCTCTGACATTATGTGAAGACACAAATTGTGAAGCTCCTCGTTATGCAATTACTGTCAGCCTCATATCACATTACCCCCTCTTCTTTCAGCACCTTAATTCGGCGACTGTACCCATTTCACTTCGTTGTTTCAGTGACGTTCTCAGATTCTATATAACACTCTCCCTATGTACTCGTATATAGGTAAAGGTAAAGCTATCCATCCCTGTAACAGGCCGTGAAAGCCCATAGGGTTGTGAGACGTCGAGGATCCCATATTTTCTAGACAGTCGGCTCACAGATGGCGGTGAGGTTGTCAGCCTTACGCGTCGGCCACCCTTTATCTCCAGGAAGACTCCTGGTACTAATTTCTATTAGAGTCTGAGTCGAACCCAGGGCCTAGTGCGGCTGCAATAATTAGATAAATTGAAAAATACAATGACCTCATCGGGAATCAAACCCGCGACCTTCCGGCTTATAGAATAGTGCCTCAACGAACTACACTACTGAGTGCCCCCTACGCACTTCCTATACAAATAAAAATCATGTGTCGCTAACATGTAGGAAAACCTGTTCCTGTAGCATCCAAAGCAACAGAATTATCTCTGAATATTTAGACGTTTCATGAAAGTTAATTAATTATGCTGAAACTGCATGTTGAAACTACTACCGGAAACTGGTTCCAAAAAGAACGAAATTCATCACGCATATTCGTTTCCTTCCACGGTTAAAGAATTCAAGGAAGTAACTCCACGCCCTCATACACCTTTTTGCGTTGGAATGCTTTATAGGGACAACTTTATTCACGCTGGAATAACAATTAATTTCTGTTAAATGCAATACCTATTCAACAAAGGGAGTTCATATGTAGCTTCGTTCTTTTGTCAGGACTGAAGACTATGCCTAGCAAGAAACAGTGCTCGCTTCAAGCTGGTTTATTCAGTGGCTTGTTCTTCAACCTGAAGATGGAGGCGACATGTTCCTCCGAAATATCTGTCGAATTTTATCGGACTATATGGCGTTTCATTCCAGAAGACATGACTGTTCATAACGACCAGTGTGAGAACATGAGATCCTACCTAGACTTCATTGCTTACCGCGAGCAAGTCACCGCGACCTTGTCTGTAGCTATATGCACTTCATAGCTTCTTATACGGTTCTAAGCAAGTAAAACAAATGTTTCAACTGACGAGTAGCAGAGAAATATGGCAGCAATATTATACGTCATACACGTTACATAAAACATAACCACGCACTAAATTCAAACACGTTAAATCCTCGAGTTTATTACTCATGTTATGGGTACACGCAGACACTAAAATCCACAGTTGATTGCAAGACTTATTCAATTTTTTATTACATCTAAGCATATACAAACATTGTTAGGTTTTACGGTCTCACAAGGGTGACTATATAAAGAGTACTTTGTTCTGTATTCCAGTAGATGTTCATACGTTTTGGAGGAATATACTCTCTTATTTAGAGTCGGAAAGCAAGCCAAGCAAGAACAAACTATCAGTGAAAATATTTACCAAAGGAATTCATAAGTCTACGTAGTAGATTCATAGTTTTGAAACCAAAAATATGTTCAGTATTTAACATTTTCTATGAAGTTTAGCCGTCTATCCGTCAGACACTAGAAGACTTACCAAAGAAAGTCACTAATCTACATAGTAGAAACACTGAAAACTGTTTGGAACTAACTCACTGCCAGTATAATAGTAGTAGTTAATAAATTATCAAAGAGACTCGTGCAGAGGTAACTAGTCTATGCAACTGTCAACAGATTTTTTTTCTATCGAACCCAAAATATCATCACGGTTTTCACAAAATCTCACAAATTGGCCATATTTAGAACCAGCTCAATCAGCTTATTTCTTCTTAACCAAATTTTCTAAGATTCATTTTAGCACTACCCTCTCGGTCTTCTATTGTGACTTCCGAAGACGGTTTCCATGCCTATTTTTGTTCTTCACACGCGTCCTCAATGTTGATATTCATCATTAATTAATTGCCCTAGAAGTACTATGTGACGACAACATGTTACAATGCTCTTAATTTTCTTTATATTTAACCACTCTGGCG